TATATATATATATATATATATATATATATTCACTAACTAATATAATCATAGATATATACTTCCAATTACTGTTAACATATCAAGCCACTATTATATTTGATATTTCAATTGGAAAATCGTCAAGTTACAGAAACTATAGTTAGGTAGTTGAAATAAAAACGAGATGACTAACATCGTAAATCAAACAATGAAAAATACTATTTTTGTATGCATAAAAAGGTTTATAAATAATTCTTGTGCAGCTTAAATAAAAAATGACTATGCAAGTAAACAAGTTTATAGACATTTTAAGTTGGAGCTGAGATATTTTATTTACAATAACAGCAATGTTGATCAAAGAAAATCCTCTACTTAGGAACGTGGTTTAAAAAGTATCAAGTTTCTCAGTTTTGCTGTTTGTCATTAATATAATAACTTAATGTCTAATATAGATAATAAACATTTTTGAATTGATAAAATCTTCATATCATAATAACAAGCATACATTGTTGTAATGATTTTTGCATGGTTTTACTATTTTTAATGTTTGAAAGTGTTTTTGCTTATTTTTTAACAGGCTATAATAAAAAACCTGGTTGCAGGTACTAGGTTTAACATTAAATCTTACTATGGCTATGAGATTGAAGATATCAAGATCCTGGGGAAAGACCGCAACATTGTTGCTCGTACTCCTGCCACTCTCATGCTAGGAGATCTTATTTTGAAGAAATTGAGTGAGGTGAATTATATTATTTACTTTAAAGAAATTCTAAAGGACTGCTGACTCTTCTTACTAATTTATGCATTAAAGAGACTGCTTTGGTGCATAATTTAATTTATCATTGTTTGAGTAACTTGAATGACATCTTCAAGTATTTATTTGGACATGAAATATAAATGTATTTATACACAAACATATGCTGTTTACATGAATAAGGAAAAACGACCTATATTACTGATAACTTCAATTCCTTTTTTTAAGTTCAGTTTTAGTTTTAGAAACCCATGATATTCTATAGTTAAATAACCATCAAGATTATATAATTGAGAGAACAAACTTGAATAATTAAGATGTATATAAAAGAACAGAACAAGAAAAAAAAGAGTGGGATAACAAAGCAGAAAATTACATTTATGTTTGGGTAATTCCATTATTCAAACATCTTATTTTTACTAGGCTTAATATTCTAAGAACCTGTGATTGAAAGTAAAGAATAATATATAACAATACGTGAACCACACTATTTCTGTAATATCCAGTGTTGGAAAGGCCTTTAGCCCAGTATTAGAGTTCATCAGGATGGCTGGGACATGACTAGCATAGTAGTGGTTGAGATGCTATTTATATTATAAAATTGCATAAACAACCATTATGGTGTAAGCTGGATTAAGTTGGAGAAAAGTAATTTTTATTTAAGTCATTTATAAATAAGAAAAGGAGTAATAATTAATAACACATTATTATTTATATATTCACATTTACAAATTGGCATAGTTATAAACTCCACAATAAACAATATACTAGCAGATTTAAACATTAAAGTGCATTATTCTACAGATATATTCTATTACACTTTTTTTTTCTATCATATTTTGTAATGTTCTGTGATAGGATATCATATTTATTTTGTAAAATACTTTTTTTATCATGTATTAAAATCTAATTGTTTTTAAGGTACCCTGGCAAGGCATGGGAGGAAATGAGAAGTTTTTTTTCGAAAATGAAAATGTAAGTGTATATATGTGAGCAAACAGTTACTTTTTGATGTATTAATTAAGTCTGTGATGTTCACAATAATGCTAGATAAAAAAAAAGCTTTTCATTATTAGTAATTTTGATAAAAAAAGTTAAACATTTCAGAGTTTAATCATATTTTTTGACAAAGAATTTCATAATAAGATACATATACACATATCAGTTTGTGAATCAATGAATAACTTATTGTATGAATAACATTTGTAAGGGTACTTTTAGCCCGGGAGGGCCAGGTGAATAACACCAAACATGCTCGCCCTTTCAGCTGTTGGGGCGTTATAATGTGATGGTCAATCCCACTATTCGTTGGTAAAAGAGTAGCCCAAGAGTTGGCGATGGGTGGTGATGACTAGCTGCCTTCCCTCTAGTCTTTCTCTGGTAAAGTAGGGACGGTTAGCGCAAATAGCCCTCGTGTAGCTTTGCACGAAATTCAAAAACAAACAAACTAAGGGTACTTTTAGGTATTGTTTCCTTTCAGTGGTTTCTTTTTAGTCTTCACCAGCTTAGAAAATTTTAAAATGTCATTTTTTGGGATTGATTTTATTTAAGTCATTAAAAGTTATAGGGGATTAATGAAGTTAGGTTGAGTAATATTATTTACATAACTTTTTCATGATAAATATAATGTGTTCATATGATAGACATTTGATTTTACTACATTGAGTATATACAGTTTGGTAAAGAATATTTAGACATTAAGAAAACAATGATTTGTTAATTAAATTTTATTGCAAAACTTTACATTATGTTGATTGAAAACTTGTACAATTAACATTTCATAAGCTAGAGTAAAGCACAAACAATTTACTCAGCAAATCTATTTCTTTTGTTACAATAAATGTCTTACATCTTTTAAGTTTTTTGTTTAGTTGACTTTTTGTATCAAAATAACATTATAAACTTTAAGTGTTTTTGTTTTTAATTAATTCACTATAGGTGTGTATAATATTCAATGCTGGAGAACTAACACTAGTGGAGTATGGAAATAATGAGATCCTGGGATCAGTAAGAACTGAGTTCATAAATCCTCACCTTCTCAGGTACATTACAAATCATATTATTGCTAGTTAAGGGAGTGCTTTATGAAAACAATAGTGTTTTTTTGATAAAGACAAAGCTATTGAATAGATGAACATGTAATGTTGCTATATCACTCTAACATTTTTATTACAGAAACATTAAAATTATTACATATTCATGGAAATTATTAATATTTAGGCAAAACTTAGATAACTGTGTATTAAGATTCAAATCAGATAAAGCAAATTAAAAATTAAAAATACTATATAAGAATTTGCTGTAGGTTCAGAAGTGATTATGTGTGAAAGGTGGAAAAAGGCACTCATCTGTTTAAAGCTTTTTATGAATTACAATATATATATATAGCATAGGGAAAAATAATTGTAGAATGTAGTTGCTGTTATTCTAACAATATTATGTGTGACCTTGAGTGTGCGAACACTTTTTTTTATCAATTCTTTACTCAAATAGTATTTATTTACTAAAAGATGAAAATATAAAACACTTTCACCAGTTATGTTACTCAGATCTACAGTTAAACAGTAACATGTTTTGTAGTAATTTATTTAGATTTCAGACTATTCTAAAGTTACACCATCAGAGCCATTTAATGGGCTGTCATTGGTCAGCGAATATTAAATCTATGAGAGTACTTGAAGTTGTATTGACCACATTACCGCATTGACCACTTAACGAAGTGGTATGTTGTTAGATGATGAAGCTAAGATCTTGGACTTTCCTTGAAGTTTTAGGGAAGTAAATTCAACTCCTTACAACTTATTTATTACAGTGTTCGCATTAATGAAAGAAAACAGCGAGGAGTTGGAGAGAATAAAAAATTGGCATATCTTATTGACCTGAAAACCATATCAGTTAGTAAGTATTTAAGATATTCATTGTAGTTTGAAACTTGGTTATTATGAGTTGAGATGAATAACTTTATACATTGTAATTTTTGTTCAGTAGTTACAATAAATGTTGTCAGTCATAATTTGAGGATAACAGAATCATTATTAAAATGAAATATTTATATATTATTTAAGGATTGTATTTGTATGTTTATATAAAGCATTTTCTTTTATTCCAGTTGACCTTTTAACTGGCCTACCTATAGCTCAAGTTAGTCATGACTCAAAAATTGACTGGATTGAAATGAATGAGACTGGACACAAGCTGCTGTTCCGAGATAAACGCCAGAGGGTGAGTAACTGTTAAATCTATTCAGTGAAACTCTAGTAATAGATTTAAAAAATAGCATATTTCTGTGCAGTCATAAAGTAACAGTTTCATACTCTGCAGGTAAACTTGATACGAATTAGAGGACATGGTTTAAGTTATATTTCAATTTTTAAGGGATATTATTTTTTGACATGGTTATAAAAAAGTTTGTCATGTCAGAAGTTTGTGGTGTTGGTATTTTTTAGTAATATGTATATAAAAATCATCTGTAGTTTCAAATGAAACTTTCTTCTGCACCTGTCATTCAAGAAGACATTCACTTTTGAATTATCTTCTATAGCAGACTATGTAACTAAGGAATGTGTTAAAGGTATAATATTATTTACGTTTTTAGTCCTTTTAAACTGCGATTTAAACTGCCTGATCAATAGTGTGATGTATAAAGGATTTATTTTTGGATTTTGGTTTTTCAATTTGACCTATAGTGTCTGAGCAATAAAGATAATCATTAATATTTTAATTATAGTTATAAATTATCCATACATTAAGAAATTTGAAGACAATAATCTATAAAATAGTAGAATTTAATTACTTTGATCATGAAAACCAAAAACTTTTGTATAGATGTAAAGAAGTTTAATGTTCCTCCATATTTTACTTTGTAACTGTAACTGCTATATTCAAGAGAATTATAAATTTGTATGTGATTATATGATTACAGTTTTAATAAATTCTGTTGAATAAGCTGTTATGCATTGAACTTTTAAGGTTGACAGATGATGTATAGATTAAGTCTTTCGACACGGGCTTGGTCCCTGGGACTGAGTCACGTGACCTTCTGTACTCGTTTAAAGTTGACATAAATTTAATACTTATAACTCTCTATATATTAGGTATATCTTTACGAAATTTGG